GATCTCCGATTGCCTCGGTTGCTGGGGTAACCATCAACGGATGCTTGAATTCGCCGACGAGCTTAAAATTTACAAAGATCGATCCATTTTAATCGGAAGATGAAATTAAATGAGTATTACAATTCGAATAAAGCTACATCACAATTTTATAATTGGAATAATTTAGATAAATTCTCAAATGATAAGTCAGTTTCGCGCTAGTTCTTTTAAAGTAAATTTGTGCATAACATTTAGATATCTACTATTTGTATGTTTCACAGCATGCTTTCGATAAACATCGACTTCACATCACTGCGGTTGTTCTGGCTATTTCACACAATTAACAAGAAAATGATACCTTATTCTTTTGCATAATCATGCAATGAAAATAAAAATTACATAAACGGATGATCAAACTTGACATTATTTAATAAAAATGTAATTTTTCCAAAATATCGTAAAGAAAAATCGATACATTTTCACACTCGTTTTGCTATATCGTAAACTAAGTCGAAACTACTTAGTAGAAGTCTGAAATGCGGCTATAAATAATAGAGGTAAATTTTAAGTTGGTACTTAAATTTAAGTTGCAACTTTGTTAGTTTCGACTTAGGTCGGTGTTATGCAGAAATTTTGTTTGGCAAACTGCGGGCAATTGTTGTTGCAGCAAACTCGGAGAGAGCGAGTTTGGCGACTCTCACAGCAAACTAATTTTGTTTGGTCAAACTGCAGCAAATTCGGTGTTGTCATATACAAAAATTTTAAATTTTGCGCGTTATGTACATCTGAAATTCTCATTTCGTGTTGGCAATAGCCATGAAAACCATAATGAACGTGCAACCCTGTGCCAAACTCGACATAACCACCTCCGAGCAAACTAAGCAGCCGCCATTTAATTTGGCAAACAAAAGTTTGTCTGCATAACTCCGACCTTAGTTGCTGGACTATGAATACGCGCCCTAGATATTTTGCGATCCGTATAACGATCCATCAATATTTGATGCTACACCTTCAATAAATATCAAGACCCAGGTATCTCACAATGTTTGTATGGACTTTGGAAAAAGCTGTCATACATTTTTTAAATAAACATCAAAAATTTCGATTTATTGACAATTTCGGCTATTCCAAATACGTGAAACTTTTTTGTCTAACTCTTTATCTTTCACTTGGATCACCCAGTTCACAGACGCCATTTGCAAACTTCAGCGAAAATTTCCCGTTCAGCCGCCATCACATTCGTTGCTTCGTTCGGGTATTGTTCATTCGTTGATCACAATTTGGTAATTGCTCGTTCAATTGCCATCACGTCGTTTTCGCTTTTTCCTGCACATTTAAATTAGTTAAAATATTATACAGTAAAATTATAGTATTTTACTTTTATTGTATAACTAAAAATTTGACTAATGCTTCGAAAAACGTAAATTTATTACTTTTTTCGTAACAATAAGTGAAATACGCAGTAGAACAGAGCAGCAAAGTGATCGGAAAATTGTGGAAAAAATCACCAATTTTCTTTTTTGGAGCTCCTCACGCACCTAAAGAAAATATATACACTTATTGACTACTGCAGGAATCGTAGTGAAAATCGACGCGACAAAAAATAAGCCGTATGATATAAATCCACTTTAATTGAAAGCGGAAAGGCTGAGCAGTTTTATTGGAACGTAGAACTGGAATCAAAAACTTCGCATCGAAGCGGAATACTTGAATATTTCGGTGAAATAGTTGGTAATTGAAGCATTGGGTAAGTGAATAAATAAATATATTATCCTACTTACATATATATATATATATGTCCTGCCTTTTGTTTTTATTGAGTAAGCGCTTTCACCTTATTGCATCAAAAAACGATCCACTATCGATTTTCTCAACGACGGGCAGCGTACGTTGAACGAAGTTATATGTATATAGCATATAGTTATAAAAGTACTTAAATATATGTATAGTTGTAGTTGGATACGTATATGTATATAGAAGTTCTGCTTTTTCACAAGTGATAACCATGCGGTTCTTGATCTCAACTAGTTCATATTTAATTAGCGGCCAACAATAAATTCGTTTATGACATTTGGATTTCGTCAACTGTAATTTAGAATATTTAAAATACATTGTAAGACTTAAATAGCAATGAAAGGAACTTTTATTGCTTTATGTTTGCCTCCGCAAACTTATATTCGGGCTAGGTTACTTACAAGGTTAGGCTTCTTTGATGATCATTTGTCAGTTGAGAAGTAGACATAGGTAACCATATCTACCATTTTTTAAAAGTCATTCCTATGCCAATATCTTTGCTAAAATTTTGTATTTTTCCTGTTCCTTTTTGTTCTTTTCTTAAAAATAAAAAATAAATAGAATCTGCGTGGATTGCACAGCGTTTGACATAAAATAATAAAATACAAACGAATCTTCTTCGTCAAGACTTTACCTAAGAGTAAAAATGTATGCAGGTGGTTATGCGGTGAGCGGTGGAAGTCCACAAACCAACTCTAATGGATTCTATGGTGCCAGTGGCGTCGCAGGTGGTCCGCGTCCTGACCGCCCCCATTACCAACGAAATGCTATTAACAATGGCAACAATGCCGGTATGCCATATGGTGGTGGATCTGCATTGTATGGTGGCGCCCAAAGCTCTTATCGTGGGGGCAGCAGCTCTAATTCGATGGTGACAAGTGGGGGTCCGAGCTTCTATGGCAGTGGTGTTGCCACTCCTGGAGGCTACCAAGCTCGTGGTAAAAATCCGAATTTCGTACCACGTTATCAAAAACCAAACGGCGGCTACCAACCTAATAGCGGCTACCACGGTGGTATGAATTTAGGTTTATTGAGCAAGGAAGAGCGAGCCGAACTTCAGCGTGAAAAAGCTAAAAATCCCGGTCGTAACCTACAAATCCCACTTTGGGAAAATTTACAACCTTTCAAGAAGAATTTCTATGTACCACATCAAAACACATTGAATATGAATGAACAAGCTGTTGCTGAGTTACGCAATGAGTTGGAGATAACAGTTTCGGGAAATGGTATTCCCCATCCAGTATCGACATTCGAGGAATGTTCTCTGCCAGAATATACAATTGAAGAGATGAAGCGCCAGGGCTTCACTAAACCCACTGCTATTCAAGCACAAGGTTGGCCGATTGCTCTTTCTGGTCGTGACTTAGTTGGTATAGCACAGACCGGTTCCGGTAAGACGTTGGCATATATGTTGCCTGCTATGGTACATATTGCAAATCAGCCACCATTACAACGTGGAGAGGGTCCCATAGCATTGGTATTGGCGCCAACACGTGAATTGGCTCAGCAAATACAATCTGTTGTTCGTGATTATGGACACTTGTCTAAACCTGAAATTCGCCATACCTGTATTTTCGGTGGTTCTTCAAAAATACCGCAAGCTCGTGATTTGGAAAGAGGCGTTGAAGTCATTATCGCTACACCAGGCCGATTAATCGATTTCTTAGAGAATCGGAACACAAACTTGCAACGTTGTACCTATTTGGTATTGGACGAAGCTGATCGCATGCTGGACATGGGTTTCGAGCCACAAATTCGTAAAATAATAGAGCAAATTAGACCCGATCGTCAAGTGGTAATGTGGTCCGCAACTTGGCCCAAGGAAGTACAGGCACTGGCCGGTGATTTCTTAAAGGATTATATTTCTATAAACATTGGCTCGATGAACTTATCAGCTAATCACAATATTCGACAAATTGTAGAAATTTGTCAAGAATCTGAGAAGCCACAACGGGTTATCAAGTTGCTAAAAGAAGTAGCACCTACCACTAATAATGCTGCTAACAATAATAACAAGATTATTATATTTGTCGAAACTAAGATAAAGGTAAGAGTATTTATTATTTTCATTATTTTTTTTAGTACTGATATAATATCAGAGCTAAGAGGAGGGGTCACATCGGCTACTAAGCCCCGCTCGCGTATGCTTGTCCGTCAACGTTGTCGTCAAGCTGAGCCAAGGGGAGGACCAGGAAGTGTGCAACTTCCACTGGGTCTGTCCATAGAACAGACGCGTTAGCTGGGTGGTCTTTTTGGGGCATGCGAAGAGTTGTCTTGAGTCATCTGGCGACTCTCCGCGTGCCGGGCACTCATTGGGCACATCTGCATTCACTCTGCTCTGGTATGAGGTTAGACTGCTGCAGCAGCCAGAGCGAAGTTGGTTGCAAAATTGTTGTTATACCGGCAGAATAGACCTGTAATGGGTAACATAACAGCAGATTATACCAAAAATATATATGTATATTAAGGGTATTCTCTCAGTCTTGCAAAGCCCTTGCAAGGGGCACGTATTGCTCGGTTTGCAAAGCTGTCCCATGGCGANGTAAAGGGTAACATAACAGCAGATTATCCCAAAAATATATATGTATATTAGGGGTATTCTCTCAGTCTTGCAAAGCCCTTGCAAGGGGCACGTATTGCACGGTTTGCAAAGCTGTCCCATGGCGAAAACCGGGTTTGGCGTGCAAGCGTGTTGAATATAATTGTTATAAGGCCATAAATAACAAAAAAATTCTGATTAAATAATAAATTTAAGGTCAGTCAAACATACCGAAAAAAAGTCGGAGAGTCTCCTTAAAGTCGATGTTTAAGACATCGGCAAAACTTCCATCGATGTATCGTCAATTTCGCGATGTTAGTAAATTGTAAACATAGATGGCAAACATCGAAAATTGAACCGATATTATCATTATCGATGTTTAAAAATTGTGCCTTGACAGACGGCGGTAATGCGGATCAACGAGCCGCGAGGTCGTAGGTTCGAATCCCACGGCCAGTAGAATATTCATATATATATTTTTTTTATTCTTTCAATTATAACTTCTATATTTTTGAATGTTGTTTTTAGCTAGTTGTTTTTTTTTTTAATTTTAGTAAAATTAAACGTTTAAACATTTAAACTAACTGATAATAAAATAAAAACTGTGAAATAGAAAAAATAAAATTAAAAAGAAGTAAAATAAATAATAAAACCAAAATTTGTTTGGTAATCGCTGCAACCGAGGATCGAACCTCGCACAAGCTGGCTTGTAGTACGCAGCTTTTACCATTCGGCTACCGCGGATGAAGGAATCGATTGCTTTGTAAGGCTTGCAGGTTAGTCAGTGTTGCGTTCATTCCGAAGGCTCTCATGTTTCCCCTAAGGATTTTAGGCCTGTCTGTCTCTTCGTTTTTGCTAAAAACGCTTCGTTTTTCTTCGTTTTTGCTAAAAACGCAAATGCAAACGCACGCAAGCCAATTTCGGGTGACGCATAAAAACAAATTCCACGGCATGCGTTCCAAAACGCAAGCCGCGAATATTAGATTAGCCTGTAAGAATATAATTATTTGTGTTAAGGGAACATACATTGACTTTTCAACCAGACATCTGGTTACTTTGACAGCGTTCCAAGCCGCCATTCGGACAAACAAGTTTTCGAGGTAAATCAAAGCAAACTAAAGTCAGCAAGGCGCGCAAAGCAAACCTGCAGTGGGCCAGCGCATTAAGCCATTCTGATTTCTCCCAAAAAGTCTTATGGCGTTTTCATTTCAAACGAACCTTTACCTTTTCATTGCCCTCTCAGAAGCAATGAGAAGGTAACATTTTTTGTAGATACGAAAACACCATTAAAAACCTTTCTTATTTAATAGTTACAGTCTCGTTATTTAATCGTTAGGTTTCTCCTTTTAAGGCAAACATCTAAATAATCACTATGATTACATATTTAGCTAAACAAATTATTGCAAGGCCTTCATTTAAACACACAAAAAAATTTTTTTTCAGGTCGAAGAAATATTGCAAATAATTCGCAATGAAGGTTACACCGCCACTTCCATTCATGGTGATAAGTCCCAGCCTGAACGTGATTCAGTGTTGAAAGATTTTCGCAACGGCAAATCGAATATTTTAATTGCCACCGATGTGGCCTCACGTGGTCTAGATGTAGAAGATTTGCAGTATGTCATCAATTACGATTATCCAAACTCATCTGAAAACTATGTACATCGTATTGGACGTACTGGTCGTTGCCAGCAGTTAGGCACAGCTTATACTTTATTTACTCCTGACAATGGAAAACAGGCACGCGATCTAATTTCTGTGTTGGAGGAGGCCGGTCAGGTACCTCCACCGGCTTTAATGGATTTGGCACGCTCTTCAGGCGGAAATGGTAATGGTCGAGGCAACAATAATCGCCGCTGGCAGCAACAGCCTCCTCATCAGCAACGCACCAATCCACTAAATTATCAGGCGGGCAACAACGCTAACGGTTCGTATGTCCCGAAACAGAATCATTATCAGCAGCAAAGCAGCGGCATATATCAGCAACATAACAGCGCTAGCAGCGGTGGCGCTGGCGGCAACTGGAACAATCGTGCAGGTGTGGTTAACAGCGGCACTGGTGGCCAGTACAATAGCCAAGATGCAAGCGGCGGCCGCACTTATCGTCCACGTGCACCGTTCAACGCGGGTGGTCCTCGCCCTATGATGGGCTATATGCCACCACATATGCAACAAAATAACGGCTACATACCACAACAACAATATCGACCACGTGGTCAACAATTCATTCCACAACAAACTGGTAATGTACCTCGTTTCCAGCAATATCAAAAACGCGAATATAATCCACGCACTACGACAAACAGCAGCAACAACAAAATGTTGCCAATGGCGGGGCTGCTGGTAGTGTTGAGCTTCAACAGCATAATGGTGTTATAAATGGCGCTGCAGTTACCATTCAGCAGCAGCAACAACAACAGCAGCAGCAACACCAACAACAGGTGAATGTAGCTGCCAACATAGCAGCTGCTGTCGCGCTGCCGGCGGTCAATTGGGGGGTGAGTATCCCAGCAATGTATCGACACCACCGGCTGCGGCATTATATGCAGCACCTGCACAATCGCCGCCGACTGCAGCTGCCAATACCGCTGCTTATATGTATGATGCTAGTGGTGTTTTAGCAGCAGCAGCTGCTGCCGCTGCTGCCAATCCATATGGAGGCTTGCCACCACATGCCACCGCTGCTTACTATCCACATCCACACCAGTTTGCCGCTGGCGTGGCACCGGCCACGGCTGCCGATGTTTTGCAACAGCAGCAGCAGCAACAACAACAACAGCAGCAGCAGCAAAGAGCGTAAGTGCATCAGACGAAAAACGAATTTTCGAAGTGCGCATAGCGAATATATAAAATATACATTTCTTCAATTTTATCGACTTAAAAATATTAATTACTTATTGATACTACTACAACAGAAAAAAAAACATTCATAAATAATAATCGATAGAGAGTAATTGTTCACGGTGTTCATTGGATTGAAGCCGGAATGTGCTAAAACGCAAAAGTGCATTTCCTAATTTTTATATATTATTTCATAACAAAAAAATATTATTCCGGTTTCTATAAGATCATAAAATTAAGCGAGCAACTAAAAGAAAGCAGTCAGTAACTATGCAACAACAATTTAAACGCTGAATTTTTGACAACAGCATCGAATGAAATGAAATTCGAAATTTGTTATTTTCGTACAAAAAATGCGAAAACCGACAAAATGAAAACCTATTTTACAACACATTTCTAGTTATTCATTAATATAATTTTAACGATATTCCGCAAAATATTTACTTTGCATCTGAATTAATACCTGTTAAGTAGAGAACCGCGAAAAAAAATCGTCTTACAACGATTACATCTAGTTTTTTTTTAACTTTTTGTTTCTATTTGTTTGCTTCACTTTATATGAATTACCTAAAATTAATTGTATTAACTTTACAAGTAGATTTCTCAGGAACAGCTCATTTTTATGATAGTTTTGATGATAGTATCAAAGTAAATAGGATTATAGAAAAAATTTGGCCATCGAACGAGGATCATATTTAAATTTTAATGAAAACAGATTTCATCGAAACGCAATTCAGTCGATTTCATTGCAACTAATATTTAGGAATTGAAATCATTAATTTTGAAATCTATAGATTAGAGCGGATTATGTAATTGTACAATATTATTTTTGCGGTCCTTGCCACCATAAACTAATAAACAAATTTTGTTACATAGTTTTGAAAATAAAAGACATCAATTACACTAATGAGAAACAATTTTAACTCAGCAATTCAAAGCAAACAAAAAATCGTATATGAAGATTATCTTAATTTAAACTTGTATAACTTACAAAATCTTTATTTGGAACAGACAAATCTCGCCAATTTAAAAATTTGACGTGTAAAGAAAAGAAACATAAAATGCGCCGCATTCATCCATACAAACATAAAATTAAAAGTTATATATGTAATTGCAAACTTATGCAAACGAACATATAAAAAAACCAGAGCGAAGAATTTCCGAACGTTAGAGTAAATGTTGACATTTTTATAGATGCAGTTTTTTTAAGTTTTGCTTTTACAGTTGTTAAACAGAGAATATCCGACGCTTATTAAGTTCACTCTAACATTCGTCCCGGGGTTTAGCTACAATCGGAAGTTAAAATAATGTTAAGTTCATATACAATGATAAAGTAAACGTTTAACCTATTATAGATTTTCGTACTAGTCTAAATTTACGTTTTAAATATTTTTCTTTATTTTTGTAAGTGCTTCAAAAGTGAAATTTGAAATGTTAAAACTTTCTAACGAACCTCGCGCCGTGCGATTGTTTAGAATTGTTTAATAAAAAAAATATCCTTTACTTCGTTTAGAGACCTTTTTTCTCTTAAATTCTTAAATTAGCCGAACGTGAGTTAGCACAGCATTGTTAAAACAGTCCTTAAGGATAAGTAATTAAACGTTTACTTTATATTGTTATAGAATGAATGTCTACACATTTCAGCGGTAAACATATGCAGACCCCAAAAGCAATTGAAAAACTTCAGACATACACACACATTAACATTTGGTAAAACGTATGTATGTAGGCCCTTTAAACGTAACGCATAATGTTAATATTATTTCCCTAAAACATACATACTAGATATAAAAAATAATAATTCCCCCTATTATGAAATTTCATACGATACCATAAACACTTGCAAGCGCACAATACAAGCGTATAATCAAGAGATAGAAAAGAATGCGCCCTGAGCCTTGCTGTAACGTCATCAACGAAAAAGTATGAATAGCAGACAAAGAAGCAGTGGCAAAATCCCATACAAATGATAAACCAAATTGCGGACATTCACGTAAAATTGTAAAATAAACTAGTTTATTATGAGAAATATTAGAAGAAAAAGTAAAGTAAATGTGCCAGGCATATATGTGACGAAAAGCAACCTAAAGTTGCCTAATTGGAAAATCTGTGAGCCATAATATCTAATTAAAATTGAAGTGAGTTTGTGTTTTCTATTAAAAATTTTATTGCACACATATATTGTTGAATATCAAATTAATAAATAACAAAAACTTGGTTACAATTTTAGTCAATAGTTCTTGCAAATAATGCACTTTTGTGGTTGTAAGGACTTGATCGGCGGCAGGAACTAATCAACTTCTGTGCCAAAGCCACAGAAAACTTAAAGGAAAAATAGTTCTTCATCAAAGATTTGTCTGATATATAGTTATTGAAACTCGCCACTGAACACTAAATTTGCAATTTGTGGTAAATTTTCGTTTCGCTTATGACGTCACATCAAAGAAGCTGGCTGTCAAACTCAAACCAAAAAAGATAGCGGAACGTTGAGGACGCAATCTTCTTTTCTATCATTCTTGAGCGTATAATATAAAATCAGTTTTTGTATTATGGTTTCCATACACGGGGAAAGATATACGATGGCAATTGACTGTGTTTTTGTTTACTTTCTATTGTGAACCAACACAAACTAGCTGTTGTTTTCTCGGATTTTATACATCGATTCGTAATATTTTATAACGAATACAAGATTTTATAGTGTATCGTATGAGTTCCTAATAGGGGCGTGTTTAAAACTATTCGATACACAACATATTCGCACATTTTTCCTGAAACCATGTCTACTTAGCATATTACGTCAAAAAATCGTAAAATGATGTAGCGTCTTCTTGATTTACCACAAGAAATTAAAATATGTTTACCTCGCGTAGATATATTTAAAGAAAAAATGCAACAATTTGGGTAATGAGTTCGATTTTTGAACACAATGTACTCCCAAAAGCTCTGTAGCTCTACTTTTGCATTAAGGTCACTTCGAATAATATATATGTATAGATATATATTCGTCTACGATATTGCATACGAATACGAATATTATATCTAAAAGAAAAGTATATGTAATGATTTTACCCGGAACTCCTTCACTTTGCGCTACTCTGCTGCTAGTATTCTCAACAAAAGAACACAAAAGTCGACAGCGACTTAGTATTCAAGTTTTAATGTTGAGGAAAAAATAAAATATATACATCTTAGTTATTTTTAGTAGACCTTAAAATCAAACTTCTAAAAACGCTAGTATCGAAGCCAAAGTCAAATTATACTAACAAGAGAAACTGGAAGTATGCGAAACAAGATAGAATTTAATATATACATACATACATATTTTTTTAATTACCATACGTACATACATACATAAATACTATGTAAATGTGAGGAAATAAGCGAAAACATAAAACGTGAAATTTTATTTATAGGAAATAGTTTAATATTTCAATTAAAAAATCATTCGAATAATTCTAACCTAAAGTCCCCATAATCTAAAGGCATAGGATACACTTACCTATATGTATATACACAGTATGAAGATGTGTATGTACATACATCCATATGTATACATAAAGACTTATGTAATTTCCAACGCTAAAAAGTAATTTGTAGAAAAAATTACTTAAGTATGAAGCATACATGAATGTATATCACTTTCAGAATTGACGAAATTCTGGGACTCGGGCTAAGGTTATAAACCAAATTCAAACAGTGTTTCTACAAGTTTTGCTTTAGATGTAGAAGCAATTCTGTAAAACATGGTGTACTGAAAATGGCATATTTTCGCTATTAATTTTTTACAAAGTATCAAATACAACTATGTATGTATTAGGCAGGCTTTAAAAAATGGTTTATTAATACGCTTACATAGTATACAAAAGCAAACCAAACAAACACGTACATACATACATAACTACGTGTATAACTACTGTATGTATGTAAGCATATAACAATTTCGTTATTTAGAGATGAGAAATTACACGGTTTAAAAAACCTGTTTGTAACGGAAAATTGTTAGAAACCCTAAGCCACATAGAAGCAGTTTAGTTATTAGTTCCGCAAAGGACTTGGGTGCATACTTCATTTTTCATTTGTGACAAACAAAAGACTTGAAACTGTCATAATTTGCATCAATTTGAATACCAGCAGTATTCAATAGCACAACTATGTATGTAGTATGTTGGTTGCACTCAACCTAAAGATCTCTTAATAAAAAAAAAAACAGACTACATAGAATCGTTGAATTGAAAATAGTTTCTTTTTTCGTTTACTTTTTATACATATGTATGTAGCTTGTAATTCGAATAATTGGGGAATGAAAAATAATTATCAAAAGAAAAGTATAAATAATATTTTTTTTTGATGTGGGTTTTGCAGTGAGAATACTTTTTTTTTAGCAGGGTCTCTATATATATTATACCCGTCATACGGGTGTGCCGCGAAATCGAAACTTCCCGGGTCCGAAAATATTGTTTCAAAAACAGTATTTAAAGGGATTTGTTTTGAAAAAGACGCTGTATGTATAATTAATACAAATATGTCAAAAGATAAAATAAAGATTGAATGCAACAACTGCAAAGCGACAACAAAAATTAGCATACAAAAAAAAACAACAAAATGTGATGTGATAGACTTAACAAAAAAAAAACATATGATAACTAAACTATATTTATATGGATGATATGAGGCACATTCTTAACTAAAATTGTTTTCTTTTTTTTCAATTTTATTATACAAATATTTATTTTCGTGTTAAATAAAAAAAGTACATGAACTTACAAAACTTAACATTTATATCGGCTAAGTGTTGCGTATACTAAAGAATTTTTGGTATTTAGCAACGCAGCTGTGCTAAAATATTGCTAAATTTAAAAAGAAAATGTTTCTCATTAAATACATAAACCGTTTTTTACAAGCTTTTTTAATTTCTTTTTAACTTTTTCCAATATGTATGTACATTATGTGTACTATATGCATATTTATTGTACTGAGCCGTAGGATTCTCTCTTTGAAATTTTTTGAATGGCGTTAGTATTAGTACAAACAAGAATCACCAAGAGTTAGTAGTTGCTTTTTTAACATTTTGGCAACATTATTAATGCAAAAAATGGAAATTTGTGAATTTTCGCTGAGCGAATGGACAAAATATGGAAGAAAAAAATCGTAAGCGCGCTGGGTGAGTGAGAAAAACGTTAAAGCATTTTCATTTAGTTGAATTTGTAACAAGATGATTCAAAGCTATACTCAAATGATACAAAGCAGCAGCTATTTTTTTTTTGTCAGCACGCTGGTTAAAAGCGCAGTTAGTCAACGACGTAACGGCGTAAACGTAGGTTGACGTACGTAGCAGCATATCAAATTAACTGTTAATAGAGAGAGAGAGAGAGAGAGAGAGAGAGGGAGAGAGAAGCAACGGCAACGGCAACGTCATGCGGTGGTGAGTTTTCGTTAACACGCGAATCCCATAAGGTAGATCGTGTCTGCGTCAACCAACCTACGTCTACGCTACGTCGTTGACTGTTTGAGCTTTAACAAATGTGTCGTAAACGCTGCAGCGACTGCATAGGAAATAATTTCACATCAGATTCTTCGCTTTGAAAAAATACATGTTAGAAGTAAAAAACAATAGATTTTACGATTTAATTTTTTTTATTAAAAACATACACAATTTGCAATATTTGCCTAAACGTTTTTCCACTGCTTCAAGCGCGTATTTTTCCTTACTTTTCCTTTTTTTTAAATGGCTAAAAAAATTCATCAAATAATATCAGGTTTTGAATTTGTTTGTAGAAACCAAAATATTTGTCTGAAATTTTCATGAACGAAGTTTTCAGTAATGCCCACCTAAAACAAAATCTAATTACATATTTTAAGTTCACATGTACAAAAATATCGTATGTAAAAGAGAAAGAATATCTAACCACAAACTGCTGCAAAGAAATATTTTTTTCTGTGCAAAACATAAATATGTATATTTTGGGCATAGCATTAAAACTAAAACACTTGCATACATGTATGCAGTTTCAAAGTCTGAAAAATTTAATTTTCTTAGAATTAAAAATACTTTTTTATGTATTGAATAAAACGATTTCAAGCGACATAAAATAGCGGTGTATGACACAGGTGCGAATATTAGTGTTTGTTCACATAAAACTTAAATAAAAAAAGTAATGTACCGTAACTGATTCTTGTATATACATATATATTTATATTTTTCGTACCTATTTATGTATGTACATATATGCATTTTTGGGGTAGTCATTTACATTACATACGATATTAGTGTATACCAGAAAAACCAGAGGCAAGCCAAGCATAAACCCAAACAAAATATTAAAAAGAATGTAAGGGATATATTTTAGATCCTAAAATTTTCTTTTTTATATATCAGTATAGAAAAAAAAAATAATAATAATCGGCAGATTCATTGTGAGCGATTGTATATTTTTGCAAAATAAGTCAAAATCTTTCTACGAATTGTGATGAATTTAAACTTTGAATGTGAATGAGCTCTGCTGCACAAAATTCCATTTTTACAATTTAGATGTTATATTTTTTGGATTTTTGTTTTTCTTTTTTTTTTTTTTTGATACATATCTTGTTGAGCATAATATAAAATATAATCCGCGCTTATGAAAATGCATAACCAGAAAATAGTTCATTTTAATTTCAGTGTTTTTGTTCTGTTTTTCTTTTTTTTTGTTAACGAAAAAAAAATCACAAATTAAGGTATTTATTTTTATAACATGCATTATTATCATTACTTTTGTCCCTTTTCCTAATAACTTTTAAAGAAATTATTAAATACATATATTCAACACGAAAACTCAAATGCAAAATAAATTTGCGGTATATACGAGTATATAGAAATACATAGTATCTATAGAACACTATGTTATACACTGAATTCAGAATTTTCATATATATTTTTTTTAATTCATTCCAAATTTGAGAAGCACACACACGCATATAATATGCAACCAACAAAAAACACACAATGGAAAAACTTGCATGGTATAATTATGTGTGAGAGCGAAAAAATGAGTGATAAATTGGTTTGATATATGTATTTAAGAGAGATCGTTGATAATCGGTGTTCGATCAATGGATCACACAACGGTATGACATGAGTTGGTTTTGAAAATGAAAAGCGTATTAAATTGTTACACTTTTTGCTCGACCATTTCTTTTTAGTGCTGCAATCAAATTACCAAACAAACGAAATTAAAGCAAATGAAAAGAATCGAATGCACAAACATTCGAACATACGTATTGCGAAGTATGCTATGCAGGAATAATGAAGTTCAATGTGCTAGCATTGGATGTTGAAATATCTAAATGCAATCCAAAACAACCGTTAAACTGGAAGATTAAACATTTCTGTNAGTTGTTTCTTTTTCCTTATTGTCAACTAAATACATACATACATATTCGGAACAGCATCAATATCAATCTATTTTATTTCTGAAATACGCGGGTTGCTAAATAGCTTTTAGAATCCGCAACGAAATTTGGACTTTATGTACATGGTTTTTTGTTAAACAATGGGCTTTCATAAAAACAAGTAATTTTTAAGCAAAAAACAAAACCGACTTTATTTTTAATATTTTTATTGAGCTTTGTACCACGATTGTTTATTA